AACACGCGCAACGGGTTATTATTGTCTATATCGTCTCTTTGCCTTGCCTTGCCTTGCCTGTCTATGTTTAACACAATAACCGGTTTTTTTCAGTCGTTTCCCGTTGTTTGTTTGTTTGTTTTTCCGTAGTTGTTTTTTTTCGTATTTTAATTACATGATTGCAGATTTTTTTGTTGTCAGTTTTCGTGTTGTTGTTTTAAGCGATTTTTTAAAGATTTTTAAAATGGAAAGTTTTTTGTTGAAATAAGAAAAAATCAATTTCATGGCCGATTTAGCTTGCGTTTCAAAGATTGCAAACTAAATGGAAAAAAAAAGATTAAAACATCCTTATCCTTAATCATCTTATGATCATCATTATTTATCATGGGATTTTTTCAATCAGTCCAAAAAAAACATATGAAAATCATCAAATTGAATTCAAACTCACATTGGATTTTGTTAGGAAATTGTTTTCTTTTTTCAAGTTTTCAAAATTTTCATTAAAGTAGCCAAGAAAACAAATCACAGTCAAAATGTTTTTCTCAAACAATTTTGCAAAAAAAAAATAACAATAACAAAGATGATTATTTTGAATGATGACAACTGGGTAAACCATAACAGGATTAAATTGATCAAAATATATTTATAAAAAAAACGATGAAAGAAACAAACTAAATTAAACTAAAACCAAAAAACAAAACAGGATATAAATCTTTCAATTATTTGATTTGATTGACGTATACAATCCATAAGAATTTTTGTTTTATCGTTTGTTTTTGTTTCAATGAATTTTGTTTGTTTGTTGATGATTACATCACACACACACAGTAGATTTATTTTTTTAAAGGGAAAAATTTACGCCGGATATCGGATTTACAAAGGAATTTTTTTTTCCCATTCCAATTGAAAATATCATTACAGGATGATGATGATTATTAACGATGATAATTGTCGATAATGATGATGATGATGATGATCATAAATAATTATGGATGAGATCAGACATTCAACACACACCTACCACCACACTCGCATGCACACTCAAGAATGCACTTGTTACACGAATACATCCATAATGATGATGATGATTAATTTCCAAAAGAATCGTTGATTTCAAAATAATTTTTTCATCACAACAAAAAGACCATCTTAAAGATAAAACAAAATCATTTCCACAAAAATGAATAACGTTCTAACAATCATGACGATTCATTGATTCCGTTGAAAATTCTGTGATGCATTCTATTTTCAATTTAAAAAATAAATTTTAACACTGAAGAACAAGGGTGGGTGATAAAGATCAACATTTAACACTTTACACACACACGATAGGTTGAAATCCAAACGGGTAAACAAGTAAAAAAAAAAATCCAAATCACACATACACCTCGGATGTTTGCTGTTTCAACCTTTACCAAGAAAGCTGGAAGAAAAAAAATTTATCATTTTTTTTCATTTGTCGAAGCAACAGGTCGGATATATCCAAAGAAAAAAAATCAAACCAAACATAGATAGCAGCAACAAGGAGAAATAAAAACACGCGCAACGATGATAACATTACGAACAAATCTGGTGAGTAAATCAAAGAAAGAAAAAAGAGAATCCTAAGGACGAAAATTTCAAACGGAAGAAAGAGAAAAGCAGCAGAAAAAAAGATCCATCCAGTTGTGAAAACAAAACTTTTTCTTTTTCTTCTTATTTAGGGATTTTTTTCGCTTTCTTGCCTTTGCTGTTTATTACTTTCGCTTCCCGTTCCTTGTGTGTGGTGAAAACAAAAAAGAGATGAAATTAGAACAACAACAACAGCAACGAAGAAAATTACCCGGACTTTCTTTTTTTCGACTTGAAAATAAAGCATCTAAAGTTAGTCTAATGTGCAAAAAACGATTTTTAAAACAATTTAACCGGCCATCATTTTGTTTTTTGCTTTTTTGTTTATTTACATTGCTGACCTGATTTTCAAAAATCTTTTTTGTTTTGTTTTTTTCTATTTTAAAATTTTTTTTTTGAAAAAAATTAAAAAGAAAAAACCAAACCAAACAACGTGTTGCACGCGTTTGGATTTTCTCTTGTTTTGGCTTTTCGCTTCGTCCCCCTTGTTGTTCCGTAAATTTCAGTCGTGATCCAGGTTGAAAGAGAGAAATTTTCATTTTCTGTTTCTTGATTATACCAGTTCGAAGATAATGAAAGAAAGATTTTTTTTAGTCAAAACATCATCATCATCAATAAATAAAATGCGGTAGTAAATCAAGATGATGATGATGATGAAGAGATGTCGAAATAGTCGGAAAATAGAAAGAACAATAGCTTGTTGATTTTTATCTTCTTCTGGTGTGTTAGTGTTATCCGGGTTAAAATAGACGAAAAAAAAGATATTTAAAAAGGATGATATTATCAATAGATAGATTCGATGATCTGATATAGGATTCAAAAGAAAAACCCGACAATATCCCAAAATTCAATTTCGATCTAGAGTTACCGATAAAGTGAAAATAGCCATCATCATCATTATTATTAGCAACCTCGAACTTTTGAAGGAAAAAAAATTAATTTTATCTTATCACACACCGACAAACAAAAAAACGTTGACCGATTTATCATCCATCTATGTTGTTGCTTGCCTGAATACGGTAATGATTATAATATAATGTCGGATGATGATGTTTTTCTAGCTAAACAAACTTTCTAACTATATTCATTTGATCACGGAAGTCAGTCAGTTAATCAAAAAAAATAATCTTTTTCTTTTTCTCTCTCGGTCGCTCGTTTTCTCAGTTTTATTCAGTCGTCTTTTCTTTTCCATTTCTAGCATCCGAGCAAAACATTGATTGATTTAGTTTCAGTTTTTTTGATATTTCCAATTTTGTCAGTGTGTCTTTTTTTCAATCAATCGAATGGTGATGGTAAAATTTTGATGGATAAATGTCACGAATGAATATTTAGACTTCCGAATAGAAATATGGATGTCCGGTTTGTTTTGTTTGTTTCTTTTGTTCCTCAGAAAAGTCATCGATATCGATGATTTTTTTTGTTTTGTTTTGTGACAAAAATCAAGCAAGGAAACCAAGAAAATGAAGAAAATGGAAATGGTAGAAGCAAATAAAAAAAACCCAAAAAGGATTTGCAAAACAACAAAAATCAATACGAAGAACAACAAAATTTACTTCCTGGAAGACTATTTTTTTTTCATTTTATTTTCAATCGAGCGAAAGTGGCGCCACCACCGTTGATGATTATGATGAAAATGATGAAAATGAAAATGACGCGCGCAATTCAAAAAAAAAGAAAAGAAAAAGTTTTTGGAAAAAACAAAGAAAGAGAGACAACAATTAAGAGAGACAAACAAACAGAAAAATAAAACCTATTCAAGTGTAACCGAGGATCGATATTAATTACAATTTATAAAATTCATTTTTTTTTCTTTTGTTTTTTTTTTTTTGGTTGATTCGGGAACCTATCGAATTATTTTGGTGTTTCAAATATCACCATAGAAACAACAATATAGTGAGAAATCAGAATCATTTTGTTGTTTGTTGTTGTTGTTTAGGTTCAGTTCAGTTCACGTTACTTTTGTTTTCCAAAAAAAAAGCCAAACAAACGAAATCTAGTCCAACCAAAGAAAGAAATTACTGTTATTACTAATATTATGACATCAATATTGCCAATAAATCAACCGACATTATCAGAAGAAGATTATAATAATGAGGTAAATAATTTTCCAATCAAGGTTGATGATTTAATGAATGAATGAACATTTTCAATGAAACCATTCATTGATTTCTGTGATTAACTGATTTCTCATATTTTAAATTACCCGAAAAGAAAATTTTCATTCTCTTTTTTTTCTCTCAATGATTTTTTTTTCCAATCCACCTTTATGAACGTGATTTTTATTGCGTTTTTTTCCTTTCTTTCGTTTTCGAAAAAATTATTATTATTATTCACACAACACCTACACACCTGAATTTTGAACAATAATCATCAAGATGTTAGTTTAGTTTGCAAGTTGCGTATTTATTTTCAAACACACACACGCTACACCTTCTACTTGCTACCACCATTTTCATCAATTTTTTTTATATAAAAAGTTTAGTCATTTCGTGTTTAAAGGGCGTAAAATTCTTTGAAAAACAAAACATCTGCTCCATTGATTTTTTTCCAATTTTGTTTCATTAGATTTAGTGAAAAAAAATATTCAGTGTTTTTTAGTTTTGCTGTGAAAAAAAAACAAACAAACAAATATGGAACGAATCGGTATTCAGGTGTGTGTGTGTCGGAACAAATCAGAAATTTTTTCGCCAAATTTAAAAATTTTTTCACATTAAAATCCCCGAAAGAAAAAACTAATCATTTTGCATCTTTCATCATTACAGCCAGGCAAAAGTCGTATCAATACAAATTCATATGCAACGAAAAAAACAATTTCACAAGGTAAATTTCAATTTTTGGCCAAAAACAGAAACAAAAGCTAAAAACCAATTTTTATCATGATAAATTAATAACTTTTCTGCTTTTTTCATCATCATCCCATGTCTTCATTGTAATTTGTCTTCCTTCATTATCATCATTTGTGTGAATGCAAATTTGGATTATCATAAATAATTATTGATCAACAATCAACGAAAACGAAACAAAAATCAATTACTATTGGGTGCCTGGGATCATCATTGTTTTTTGATTTTTCTTTCAATAACGATCATCATCAAAAATTATCGATGAATATATCAAATTTCTATTTGTCCAAAATCAATATTATTAATGAAATTTATATGTTAATTTCTTTCGTGAATCACTCTGTCAATCAATCGATTCAATCAATTCAAATCATCAACGAAATCCATAGGATTGTTTGATGTTGCATTATTGACGGCAAATGCAAGGTCAGTCAATTAGTTCCAATGTCTTTTTTATATCCTCGGTTTACATTGTAATTAACATTTTTTTTTGTATTTGTAAATAAATAATTTTTAGCCAATTAAAACATACACTTACATTGGGTGATAAATCTAGATTCTATTTATTAATGGTTATACTGATTGGTGCATCAATTTTATTACAAGTATGCGTTTTATTGATTATAATTTACAAATTTAATTTTCTAAAAAATTTATTAATAACAAAATTTTAAAAATCATTAATCATTTCATTATATATTCAATAGGTTTTGGTTGGAATCATATTCATCTATTTAGGTTATCATAATATTGAACATGAACAAAGACAAAAACGTTTAAATAATTTAAATAATATAACAACAATACTAGTGTTTATTATCACAGTAATCAACGTATTTATATCCGGTTTCGGTATCAATAATCAAACCAATAATTCAATCGATTATGATTAATTCAAATTGACTTCTTCTTCTTTTTTTTTCTTCCTTTTTTTTCTATGTAAAAAATTCGGTATTTCGTTGTAATGCATGCCCCTTTTTGGAATTTATTTTTTGCTGATTTTTCCTTTTACTTTTTTCTTTTCTGATTCTTTCCAAAATCTCTTTGTTTCCCTTGATCAGCATATGAAAATGATGGCGGTAGAATCGATGATTATGATTTGAATAATAATAATTCTACATCGTTGAATGATTTATTATTGAAAATTAATCGATCCAAATGGCCACTACAACCACAACAAAATTAATTTAAAAATGTCGAACAAAAAACTTTGTTAAAGTTGTTGTAACCGAAATATCAATAAAAACAAGAGAAAAAATGCAAAAAAAATATATATTTGTCGATATCACATTAGATGATGAAAATTTCATCTAGTCAAATCATCATCACGATTATTTGAAATGTCACTAATTAATTTGAGTTGAATTTTCTTGTTGAATCGATTGTAATATTTTATTATAATTTAAACGTTCAATAATATCATTACAAACTTGTTCAGCCAGCTGTAATTCACTTTGATTTAATTGTTTTGTCCATTGCCATGCTGTTGATGTTGAATTTAATCGATATGTTGAATAGGGATTTTTTTTATCTTTATCTTTATCTTTATCAGTACCACGATGACGATTATGTTGTGGATGTTGATGATTCGCAGTACTATTTGTTGTATGTGTACGCAGAAATCTTTGTATATATTGTGAAAATTCTAGATTAATATCATGAAAAAGTTTTCGTGTTTCATTGAATGGATTTGCAGATATATCTTCATAACGTATAAGCAATAGATTATTATTCAATTTCGATTTTAAACGATCATAATCATTTAGATCTTCTCTCATATCATTACAAATATTTGTTAGATTTTTACATTGATCTTGATTACACCATTCCATTGATTTACGTGAATTATAAATACCACGTGGATCACGAACTAGATAAATTACTTTAAGATTTTTAATTTTTTCATCTTCTAATCGTTTATATAATGATTCAATATCTTGTAAACGTAATCGTACTGTTTTAATTATATTATAACGTGAACGACGACAAACATCACCCATAAATTCATTATCATAACAAATAGACATTGTACGAAATTTACAAATATTCCAGAAAAAACGATTCCATCTAACAAGAAATGTATGATTATGTATCCATTGATTATATTGTATGGCAGAATTATAATTAGAAAAATTACATTGATAAATTCCATTAATCAAATCAATAGCATCAGTTTGATTATTATTATCGATACGTAATTGTCTTGACATATAATGTAATGGTTCAAATGTATAAAAACTTTTCCAATTTTGTTGTAATAGATCACCAATAAATGATGAACCGGAACGAAAATAACCCAAAATCAGCACACGTTGTTGATCATTACCATTGAATATTTTAAATTTTTCAATAAAATTATATTTATGACGAATTGCACGCATATTTTGTTCATGTTTTTTCTGTTTTTCCAATTGTTTTTCATCATTAGTTTTATTCTTTGAATTCGAATTCGATGATCCAAATGTTTTGGATAATTGTTCAACAATTTTGTTATACGACCATTTTGATTCTGTATTTCAATGAAAATAATCAATCAATCAATCAATCAAAAATCAATAAATCTGAATAACTTACCATCATTATTATTACTTTGATTTTTAATATGATTCAATGTTGAATTATTACAAGATGATATGTTATTAGGATTATTTAAAACAAAATGATTATTTACTGTTGATGAAATTTGTGAATTTTGTTGTAATAATATGAATATAGCACCAGCAGCAATTAAAAACAGGAATATTTTCTGCTTTTCCATTATAAACATTTTATTATTTGTATAATGATGACCATTTATCAATGGAAAACCATTACAACGACAAATATATCTGCTGATCATTGATAGATACACTATAAAAAAAATATTGATGATTGATTGGAAGAAAAATACTTTTTTCAATGATGATTCACTGGAACTAAATGAGAAAAAATGTAGAAAATACAGGTAAAAAATGTCAACAAAAAACAAAATTCCAAGATTAAATTGGATTAGAAATGATGATGATTACTTTAACATTACCATCAAGCCAAAACAAAAAGTAAAAAGTGTGGAATTTTAATCATTTGATAAACGATGATTATTTTAATCAATACAGCGGCAATAATTTAGTGGTATATCATTATAAATAATCTTCAATACACGAATGACGACGACGACGAGTAAAGAAAAATAACGAAAATTTATTTATTGATATGGCCAATGATGAAAGTAATCTCTTTTTGATACTCCAAACATCAATTTGATATGATGAGGATGCTCATTAGTTTTCATCAAGATGATGATGGTCACTGTTTGTATATTGAATTTCCATTTGGAAAAAAAATAACATATTTTCAAATGGAAAAATTCTCTCTCACTCTCTTTCTCTTTTTTTTTCACATGTAAAATACTCAACAACAACACGGCTGTCCACTATATAAAAATGTTTCGGTTGATGATGATATACAAACACAACTGTTGCTTAAATCAACAAGTGGTATGTTGTTGTTCAACAATGTGTGTGAATGCTGTAAATAGCAACCAACCAGACATTCAGACATTCATTCAATCATCAAATTATCGATTTCAATTCGATTCGTTGATATGATGTTGATGACGACATTATATATGAATTTATTCATCGATGATGATGATGACCATTCGCTGTGATGATGATGAAAAAGAAACCGAATAATAAAATTATATGGTTTTGGTTCGATGGCTCATTTCTTTCGTTCTCTTCAATCGGCAGCTGTCTCTCTTTTTTTCGTTCATTTTACAAATTGTTAATTCTCTTTTTTTCCTTCTTCTTCTTCATCAATGTTCTCACGGCATCATCAAGTTTTCATTTCTGACTGTATCATCATCATTTGATTCATTGGCTTTCAAATTCAATCTTCTTCTTTTTGTTCGAATTCGAATTTAATATCATTCATAAATTGATTTCAATAAAATGAACGGATTGATCCACAAAAGAAAATCCAAAAGATAGTTATTATTTTGGAGAAAAAAAAATCTGCAGATTCTTTTTTTTGACCTTCATATTTATGGCGATAAAGTCCAACCGCGTATCATCATCGGTCTGATTGATGGCTGAATGATAATTGTGCACTGAAAAAAAAGGCAACAGGAAAAAAAGAAAAAGAATTTATTATCATCATAATAATGTACAATGTACACACTCACATGATTGAATTTGTTGTTTTTTTTTATGATTATTTACTGTCATTTTTTTATATATGACAATAATAATCTAATGGCAGACATGGCCATTTTCATTTATTTATTGTCATTTGTAATGATTCATGTGATTGTTTTTTTCTGTTGTTGTTTTCCCTCGTTCAGGAAATTTTGATTTTGATGATGATGATGATGCGACAAACTTTGAACAACAAAACAAAAAGTGATCTGGCGGAAAAGAAGGAATACAAGAAAAAAATCAATCAGTTATATTGTCTGTTGTTTCGTTTTGTCAATGACAATTGTTAAAATTGTCGAGAGAAAACTGAAAAATTGAAAAAAACAAACATTTCTTGATGGATATTGAAATGATCATCATTTGATCGATTCGAATCTTCCATGATGAAAAGGTTGATGATGCTTGACAAATTGATTGATTGATTTTTTCCGATTATTGATTGAATTGATCAATGACAAATTGCCGGTTTATTGTTGGTTTTGTTTTAAAATTTTTCAATTTTTCCTTTTTCTCATGAGAAAAAAATGAGTTACGTTCTTTATGAATAAGAATCTTTCACGTAAATAAACAAAAAAAAAAAGCAAAAAATTCTCATAAAAATGTCTTGACATTTAAGGTTTTCCAAAATGTTTGTTAAAACAGCATAATAATGGATTCATTATTTTTGACGTTGTTATTGCTGATTGTTTTAAATCATCAATCATGTTTTGGTGCTGATAAAAAAATATTATTCAATACACAAATCAATGGTTTAATAGCTGCTTTTAATGATTTTGATTCAGATCGTTTTACCGATGTTTTTATCATTACCGACGATGGTCATACGTTACAATTATTAGAATCATTGGAAGATGAACCTGATCTTCAACCATCAGATCAGATAAAATGTTCATTTCAAAATGAAAAAATTACCGGCATTATACCGGCTGATTTTACTGGCGATGCAATAATGGATGTATTAGTTATAACTAAACCTGAATCATCATCGGGAAAATTATTCAAAATATGGATACTTCGTGGTAATAAAACTCATTTAGAATGTGAAACCAAAAAACCATTGATCGATAATGCCCTCGGTCATCCTTTAATACTTGATTATAATGGTGATATGATTACTGATTTTCTAATTGAAACATTAAATTGTCCATATGAATTATGGATTATGAATTCAATATACAAACTTTCACGTGGTGAATGTCGTCGTAATCAATTTGGTGATTCACCATTACGTTTACCACATTCAAATGCATTTGTTAATATTCGTAATTGTCAACCAGATTCATTAGATTATTCAACCGATATTGTTATAACTAATGAAAAACATATTGAATATTGGCTAAATCGTGAAGGTTTTAATATTGAAAATCGAATCAATATAAGATATCCAGATGAATCTTTGTATACGATTGGTCAATCAGCTTATATTGATCTAAATATTGATGGTTGTATTGAACATATAATTGCTGTTTGTAAAAAAGAAGGATTTTTTCATCAACGATGTTCGCCACAAATTCTTTGGTATGATAATAAACAAAATGAATGGATTAATATTGCCGATTTTACAAATCATTCGAATCTTTATTTCGAAACAATCGATACTGAATTCGGTATACAATTACCGATTGCTGTACGTTCGGGTGATATTGATAGTGATGGTTATGTTGATTTGATTACTGTAATGAAAAATAAAACCGATTCAGGTCAAATTAAACAAATTGCTGTCATTTTACGTAATATTCCGGATGAAACGAATCCAAATAGAAGAAAATTTATTCTTTTCTGGACTAGTGAACAATTAATCCATAATGATAATGATAATGTAGAATTGGTTTCATTCTTAGATTTACAAGAAAATGGAAAATTAGACATAATATTGACAACGAAAAATTCAACAAATCATTATAATATTAAATGGATTTTAAATACATTTGTTGATAATTCTTGTTTTTTGAAAATTTTGGTTACTTCAGGTCTTTGTTCGGAAACATGTCCAAATGAAAAAGTTCCATATGGTACAAATCAACCAGGACCATTTGTATGTTATGAAACATCCGATGTAAATGGTCAACTAATGAAAGGTTGTTCAGCACAATTATCACAATCATCATATTTTGCATTACAAATGCCTTATTCAATATTTGGTCTTGGTGAAACACCAAATTTTGTTGAAACAGTTATTGCATCAATACCAACCAATGAAAATCAACCAATACGAAAATCTAAATGGACACAAATTGTACCTGATGCCCAGGTAGTATTGATACCATATCCACCGAATGAAACTGCATATTGGATTGGTAAATTATTCTATACACCAAGCAATATGATTTCATCAACATTAGCTGTATTGGCAATATTATGTGCAGTATTAATTGTTATTATATTTATATTACATCGTAAAGAAGTATTGGAAGATTTAACTGATCATGAAGAATATAAAAGACATTGGCCCGAAAGTAGATGATAATGATGATAATAATAGTCATGAAATTTCTTTTCTTCAAATTTTGATATATTTATATATACATCATTCGTATTCGTTTATTTTAAAAATAACGACGACTATTGAATTTTTTTTTTGCTTTTACTTTTCAATATTGCAGCTTAATGATATTGATCGTGATATTTTTTTTGGTTGGTTTGATATTTCGTAAACAACAAATCTTGACAATCATCATTATTATTATCATTCATTCAATTGACCATTGTCTAATCTTTAAATGTATTATAGTAGCAGTAGCCATAAACGATGATCTTGACATCAAATATATCTCTTTTTTTTCATTATCATCATCATTTTTGGAACAATTCTTTTTCAAGCTTTAAAAAATATTTTCCCAAAACTCATTTGACAATTGTGACCATTATAAACCAAAAATAAAAATATTCATTGATTACAACAACAAAAATTATCTATGAAAAGAAAGAAAATAAAATAAAATAAAATAAATCCATTTTTGTATGTGAAAAACAGAATTGTTGTAATGTTGTTTTTTTACCTCGAAATTATTTTTGAAGTATTTTGTAGCCAAAAGCGAAAAAAACGAAGAAATTATGATTAAAACAAATTCAAAATACGGATTTTTTGATATTAAAATGAATGGTGGGAGCAAAAAACATTTTGACCAATCAATTCAAATCATCATATCTAGAGCAGCACGAATAGGTCAAATTTGTTGTTGTTGTTGTTTTCGTTGTTTGTTTGTAATTTTTTTTTCGTCATTATAAAATTATAGAAAAAACGACAAACAACATAGGATCAATTTCGGATGAAAAAAAAATGTTAAACCATAAATCGAATTCACAGTCAGTGGATTTATCATGAACCGAAAGAAAACGAAATAAAATTCATAAGAAAATAAACAAAAAAAAAGATAATAATCGGCCTACCTTGAAATTAAATGTTTTTGTTTGCACTTTTTCAATTGGATCGGATCGAAAATAACAATAATTTTCCAGTTTTTTTTTGTTTTTTTTTTGAAGGACATTTTTTAAAATGGAAGAAGAATATCTGTTTCGATTGTGACATTTCATTTCATTTCTTCGACCAGAATGATGTCCTTTTTTCGATGTTCATTTTGAAAAATTGAGCAACAAAGAAAATTCAACAAAAACAAAAATCGTTTGACAGATTTGGTGGTCAAGAAAATTAGTCGGAAAAGTTTCTTTTAATTCGAATGTTTTTCTTTCCCCTCTGTTCGACTATTTAAACCTAATCAAGTTCAAAAATGTAATTTTTGTTTTTTTTTCGAACGTTGTTTTGCAATTTCGAACAAACAAACAACGGGAAATTCAAAGATCATCAAAAATCTTTTACGATCAAAGGATGTTTTAATTGTTTTAAATTCACTTTGAAAGAAAAAAAAGTGAATTTAAAATGTAAAATAAAGCTATTAAAAGTGGGAGCGAAATAGCCTAGAAAATCTATTGTTGTTGTTTTTGTTTTTTTATTGTCACCATTGTTGGAAATGATTTATTGATAATCAAATCACGGTAAGTGTGGATTTTTTTGGTTTTGCTCGAATGATTTTGTTTTGTTCTTTTTTTGTTCTTCACTAGAAATTCGGAAATTCAGAATGAATATTAAACATTTTTGCCTAACAAGATAATTCGTCAAATTTTTTTCTTTTGTTTTTTTTCGAAAAAATTTAATAAAGTTTGGCCGATAAAATAATTATCGAAAACAACTCTTTATTTCAATGAAATTCAGTAAATTAAGCTCCAGATAATAATAATGTTTTTTATGATAATCATCATCACTGTCAAATTATTATCATCATCAACAACATGATATGATTATTATTGATCTATTGATCTAGATCCGTTAATAATGATAATGATGAATATGAAGAGAAGAGAAGAAAAAAATTCATTACAAATCCTTAAATCTTTGCCAATTGCTTCTTGTTGTTTTGTTGTTTTGTTTCAAATGTATTTGCTTCACTTTCAAACCTATTAATTATACCTAAGTTCAATTAAATCAGGCACGTGCTTATCATCATCATCATCATCCCCTGAAGTCATCAAAGTCACAACTCATCGACCGACTACTGATCAATATTTTTCAACTACTGTATTTTCAAATGGAACAATGGAATAAAATCATATTTCTTGACTTGTTGTTTGCCAAGGTAATTTCCTTATTTAATAATTTTTTTTTTTGTTTTTGTTTGTAAAATTGAATATGGATTGAATGATAATAATGTTATCGTAATTGTTATATAACACGGATTTTTTTGTTTTGTTTTTTTTTCTTGGTTAAAGATTTATGACTAATTACTTTTGGACAATTTTCTTTTTTTTGTTTTGTGTCCATATCCTCATTTTCAAATTAAAAAAAAAAATAGAAATTTCAACCCATATATGAAAAAAAGCTGTACGTGTTAGAAACCTAACCTCACTCAACTATGAATCATAGGCATAGTCATAGTCATCAACCTAACCTAACTCAACTATGAATGTGATATTGATATTTTAATTGTAATGACATTGCTGCACATATATGAAAACAAAAACCAAATTGATTGATTTGTCATTTATTCATACGATTTTTTTCGCCCATTTATTTTAAATCCGTCAATAATTTGGGATTGCCAAAACAAAAAATTCCACTGCCTTGTTAGTACCGCGTTTGTTTGTTGATGATGATGATGATGAATAACCGTATTCACATGACGGAAATTAACATTTTTTTTCCACCATCATCATATTTTTGTGATTCAAAATGTGTTGAATTTGCAATTGATTTTGATTTCGATGATGATGATTGAAAAATCAAAAATCAAAAAAAATGATTTATATCAATATATTTCCCCTCCTTATTCCTCCCACACACACACACTCACTCTAATTATCATGATTATTTCATTTTCCTTTCGGCTTTTTTTCTCAATTCACTTTTTGGTTTTGTTTTGTTTTTTGTTTTGATTATAATAATAATAACTATTATCATCAATTAGCGATTGGTTTTAATTGTTTTTTTTCTCATGTTAACATCGAATTAAAACATTAATATTGATTTTTCCAATTTTCGGAAACAAGATAATACCCGGGTATCACGAGACACCGTCCGCGATTATCGTGATTTTTTAGCTGACTTTCTTTGTCGGATTACATAGTCATTATTTGATTTTTTTTACAATCCGGACAAATTGATTATGTTCAGTTTTTTTCATTTTGATTTTACTTTTTCTCTCATGAGCAACTTTCACAATTAAGAAAAATTATTTTTTTGTTATCATTCGATTTTGCCCAAGGCCACAAGTGTTATCACATCATTCTTGGTAATAATGATGATGATGATGATGACCGAAAAGAAAGTTAAAATTTTAAAATTTTTATTTTCGATTTTTTTTTATAAAAAAACTCTTCGATAATATTGATGATGATAAAGATGATTGTCATGGTCATAATTCTTTACATAGAAAGAGAGATTATTATTAAATTTATTATATTTCGATTTATAGCACGATTTTTGTTTTTTCGATGAAAAAACAAATCTCATTAAACAATAATGATGATGATAATGTTTCGAAATAAGATAATGAAAACAAAAAAGATGTTTTCATTTTTTTCAATATCGATTTGATTGAATTTTGATCTTTTTTTCTGATGTTGTTGTTCAAAAATGGTTACCCAACTACCCGAGCGGCCATAGTTTTTTTCAAGTTTAGCAATTCAAATCCAATTAGGAGATTGGAGAAAAAAATACCCGTATTACGTAACCAGTAGTAAGAAAGAAAAAAAATTAAGAGAGAGATCTTAATGAAAACAATCAACAAACAAACAAACAAGAGAAAGAAAAAAATGAAAGTTTATTAAATAGCCATTGTAAAGTGAATGGTGTTCCAAATGGAACAATTCAACAACCAGCCAACTTTAATCCAAAAAGAGATCGGGCAACAAAAAAAGAGACAAATTTTACTTTCATTTTCATTCCAGCAAGCCTAGCTAGCCAAAAGAAAAAACTCTGATCTCATTTTTCAATTTCGAATGAATAAAACTTATTATCGTCGTTTGGAACCTTGTCGAATCATATAAATACTCGACATTAATATTAACAATTTTTTTGATTTGTTTCATCAACAAACAACAACGAAAAAATTCATTCATCATCGATCCGATTTTGTGAAAGTTTTTCTTCGAAATTTTTTTGTGCGTGCCAGATTCAATGTGAAAAAAGTGACAAAACAGCAACAACAACATAAAACCGGGATAAAATATTTAAATTTTTCGGTCAACCTGAACATTTTGTTAATTGTTTTGTGTTTTACCTGCGAAAAAAAATAACCATGTACAAGGTCAGAGAATTTTATTTATTTTTGTTTGCAAAAATCTTTTCAACTTTAAATTTCCCGAAAATTTTCTCGAATTTTTTTTTAGATTTTTTTCATTCTTATCGGTACAATATTACCATCATCATTTGGTTATGGTTATGGTATGAGTGGTATGGGTGGTAATAGTGGTTATACAAAACGTAGTACTTATGGTGGTGGAAGTAGTAGCCACGGATATGATAATTATGTAAGTTTTTTTACCGAAAAAAATTCCTGAAAACTTTTTCAATTTTTTTGTTTAAATTTTACAATTTTCGTTTTGCTACAAAATTAGCATGCACCACAGCCATATAAATTTGGATATGATATTAAAGATGGTAAAATTGTTTAATTGTTTTGCTTTTCTCACAATTAAAAAATTAATTTCATTTTTTTATCTTAATTTCTCAAATAGGATATGGAGGTGGCCTTTATCAAAAAGAAACTGGTGATGAATATGGTAACAAAAAAGGTGTGTGTTTGTATTTCATGTTTATTAGGCAAATAAGAAAACTAATAACAAAAATTATTCAAAAAAATTATCTAACGAAATTAAAAATTACAGGAAGCTACGGTTATACAGATAGTTATGGTATATATCGTCAAGTTGATTATGTAGCAGATAAAAATGGATTTCGTGCAACGATTAAAACAAATGAACCAGGAACGGCCAATCAAAGTTAGTTTTTTTTTCTTTATTTGTAAATTATATAATCTTTTCCAAACACACAAACGAAATACACACACATTTACACATTTGATAAACTCCTAACTCTAAATCCAACCTTAATTATCCAAGATAAGAAAAATATCGGAAATCAAAATTGAATAAATAGTTCAATCAATCGATATATCGATATATAATGAATTCAATCGATTAATCTTTAAATGTCTTTCTTTTTTTTCAATATAATTTTGTCTTTGTCCAATTTTTTCCTGTAGATCCAGCATCAGTTTATATTGATTCAAATGCTCCAGCCGTAAGTGAATTTTATTGTTCTTTTTCATTGATCCAAATTAAATCAAATCAATCATTATCATCATTAACTTTTTTGTTTTGTTTTGTTTGTCTATTTTTGATTTTTTGATTTTAAAAAAGGTTCAATACGCATCAGCTGAAAAATATGGTTCATCCGGATATGGGAAAAAAATCTCAGCATCAAGTAGCGGTGGATACGGTAGTGGAAATAGTGGATATAGTGGCAGTATGACTGCTGCAAGTAGCTATATTAAATCATCACCAACTTATTCCGATGAATCAACGAATAATGGTCAATTTGGTTTATATAAATCAGCATCACATTCAACACCGGTATGTTTTATTTTTTCAAACAAAAAAATTGTTTTTTTCTCATTATTTCATCTCCCCTTTTCAGCAATATTCACCAGCCAAAACATCCGCCTATAAACCAACAACAACATCAACAATAATTGATAATGAAAAAATCAAAGCCATTATAGCTGCATTATCATCACCATCAACATCAGCACCGATTTATCAAATGCCAGCATATTATATGGAACCAAAAACTGTTTATAAAAATATACCATATAAAGCATCGGCATCCAATCCAGTACCAATATTGAATATTGATGCTGAACAAATTCAACAATTATATGGCCAACATTCATTATATCAACCAGCCAAATCAATCAATCAATAAACCTAATCAATCAATCAATTCTTGATATCAATCACCTTCTCTATCTCTGATGATATTAAAAAAAAATCACATTCCATTTCACACACATTATATTTATTTTTGAAAAAAAATCATTTTCGCTCAATTAAAATTCATTTATTCATTGTTTTTTGTTTTGTTGAAAAAAAATCCACAGATCGAATTCAGCAGATCGATTGATTTCGATCGATTGAATATCGAAAGGATTAATTTTTGGTTTTCTGGTTTGAACATCGTCGATTAGTGCTTGTTTTTTTTTGTTTGGTTGGTTGGCCACACACACAGACATCGAAATGATTTCTGTTTCGCTAATAGGATTTCTGTTCGGTTGTCGTTGGCGACTTGATTGTATATATTTTTTTCTTGTTGTTGTTGTTGTTGTTTCGATTCACGGCGTATAACAAAACTGCTCCAACAACAACAATAACAACATTTTTCGAGTGTCTCTTTCTCTCTCATTCGCTCTTTAAATGTTTCTCCACTCAATTTCTCGGGTTTCAAAAAGAAAAAATCGATGGTGCTCAATATGTTCATATGTTTTTTTTTTCTTCTGTAAAGATTGAGCCGAAAAAGAAGATTTTCTGTTTTGTTCTGTTGTCATCATCATCATCGAAAGTAAGAAAAACTAAACCACCCAAACTGTTTTTATTTTCAAATGTAAAATTATGCAATCATCAAGTCTTCCATCATAATTTAACTGGATTCTTTTTGACAAAATATTCCTTTGAAGAAACCAATAGAAACAACCGAGAGTTTTCATATGTCTAAAACCAAAGATCAACAGTCATCAACGAAAATCAATCAAAATGTTGATGAAAATATTGAAAAATTGAACATCAACGATGAAGACGAAGATGATGAACAAAAACCGATTGAATCTTCATCGAATGGTGGTGATGCAAACAGTAACAACAACAACAACAAAGAAGAAATACGAAGACGTTTAGCATTCGAAATTGATGATGATCCAATTGCTCAATATAAATTGAATGTACATAAATCAAAGAAAAAATCACAATCATTATTATCATCATCACGTATACAGAATTTAGATAGTTTACAAATATGTTTTCTAAATGAAAATAATACCGATAATAATGATGATTATATATTTGGTGATCTGAATCAAATTGGAAATGAAACAAATAATAATGATATTATAATGCAAAATCGTATTTATTATTTGTTTAAAAAATTACAAAAAGTTAATTTTGATTTAGATAAAGTTGATCTATTTGTTGATATTGAAAAACCAAATGATCAATTAAAATTTTCTGAATATCATTCAAAATTATATACAGAAGCAAAGCTAACACTTTCACAGGTTTGTTTTCTTGTAATTTTGTTGAATTTTGGTTTAATTTTTTTGATTTTCAAAGATTAAAGAAATTTGTAAATTACGATTAAAAATTGATAAAGAAAATGAAAAAGAAATATCATCCATTTATGATTTGATACATAATTTTCCACCTGATTTTCAAAAAGGTATTACCAAATTAACCATACCGATTTTACGACGATTACGAATGTCCGAACTTCAATTAATTGTTAATGATCATTTTAGTCGAATCGAAAGTAAGTTTGAGAGAAAAACTTTTAATTAAATTTCAAATTTTTAAATTTTTAATTATAAAACATAGAACTAAATACAAGTTTAGTTAAACTTTTAATCACTCGAGATGAATTATATATGGAACAAGATTCATTATTGGTTGATATTGAAGATCTCACTAAATTTTTGTAAGTAAATCTGGAGAAAAAAAAACATTTTAATGGAAATAATCATTTCTTTTGGTTTTTTTCGATAGACTTTCCAAATGAAATCATTTTTTTTAAAAAATCAAAAACTTCGGTGCAAACATACATAGAGAATCTTTATCATCATTTTAAACATTGGAAGGAATAATAACGTTATAATCTTCATCCGTTTCGATACCAACTTCTTCGAAAAAATCTTTTTTCTTTTTTGGACAATTTTCCATTATTGTTTGAATGATACCGGTGGCCATACGTTTACGTTTTCGCCATTCATCAATCAATTTTTTACGTTTTACAGTCAATCGAGATTTTTTCTCCAAATTGTCATCAATATTTTCTTCAACCGTAATATTTTTTGATTCATTAAATTCTTCAGATTTTTGACGAAGTTCATCAATTTCATTACGTAATCGATCAAGATGATTTTGAAGTTCTTCAATTGATTTTTGACTTTTTAATTCATTTAATTTTATCTGTTTATCATTAATCGATTGTTTTAAATCATTAATCAATTGATTATGTTGTTCAATTTTTTCTTGCACTTTTTTCATTGATTCTTCATTGAAATCGGTGTTTGTTTGTGAAATAAAATATATTTTTTGTTTGCCATTTAATTTTTCAGTCACATCATTTTGTTCGACTAACAGATCTAATGATTTTTGTATCAATGATTTATTGTATTTATTTTGGAAATTATTGGCCACATCTTGACAACTATATGGACGATTAGCATTGATAAGGAAATTTTTCACTTCTAATTTAGCATCATCGATATTATTTTTAGACATTTTTTTGAAGTTTTGATGATAATGATGAAATCTTAAGTGTCATCGACGATGAGTGAAGTGATATTTTTATCAAACAAACACAACAAACAAAAATTCGAATGTCTTTCAGTCACGTGGTTTGTGAATTGTGCCAAAAAAAAATGTAGAAATCGGCTGATCAACACACGTGCGAATTTGATTTAAAAAATTTTTGTTTTGTTTTTGTCCAAAAAATGGCTAAAAATCAGGCAAAAAAACGTTCAAAAATTGAAATGAAAAAAGCAGAAGAATCACGTTTGAAAAATGAAATGAATCCATTCGAAATACGACATAATAAAATCAAACATAAAGTATTGGGACGTAAAATCGCTAAAAATGAATTTGGCAAACCATTAATCAATCGTAATCGTGCCTATAAAAAACGTGAACAAACATTATTGAAAGAATATAAAAATACGAATAAAGCTGGCCATGGTCTTCGTGATTTACGTGAACAAGATGCAAATGTACGAATGATTGAAAAATATCGTCAAGAACAGAATCGTATTGATTTTAATCATAATGATATTATCGAATTGACACATAAAGGTCGACCATTAGATGAAATGATTGATGATCGTATCGATTCGGATGATGAACATTTAGATCTATTTACTCGTGATGATTATGTTGAAACCAGTCATTTTGGTGGTGGTGAATATGGACCATCGAAAAGTAAAAAAGAAATTCTTGATGAAATTATGGCCGAAAAAGCCAGAATTAAACTTCAACAAGAAGAAACAATTAATTTAACCGAACAATTAGATAATAAATGGAATGAAATTCGTAATCTTATTCGTCATAAAGGTAGTAATCAAACAACGATGGATAAAAAATCCGATCGTAATGATTATGATACACTTTTACAACAATTGGTATTTGATGATAAAAATCAGGTAAAAGAATCTAGCCTTAGCAAAACAACCCAATCATCTACATCAGCCGATGATCAATCAACACCGGATGGTCAATTTCGATCCAAACTTAATTCGATTGAAAATCTGAATGATATTGGTCAAATACTTGATACGATTAAAAAAATGATTGATCTTTTAAAATCAAAAGTAACAAGAAAATCATTTATACTTTTAAAAGATCGACTTATTGCTATTGCTGAAAAACAATTAAAATTTACCCCAAAAGAAATGGCCATATTAATTGTTGGTGCATATTTCAAAGAACTACAAACATTTATTCATCTAATTATTCTACGAACATTGAACAAAATTAAATATTCAAATTTAATGGAAATTTCTTGTGCTATATTTTTGAATAATTTCCTGCTGAAAAGTCAATCCATCGATAAATTCTGCCCAGAATTATTTGTTCATGTTGATAATTTAGTTCGTTTATGTTTACCACAATCATCGACTAAAATTAAACTTTTTCATCGATTAGAATATGAAATTGATTGCCATTTAAATGTATCAAAATTTAACGATTCAGAAGTTGAAGAAAATCTTCGTTATAAAGTATCATTAACCAATTTGTTTGATGGAATATTCAAATCAAATGATTCATCTTTAGTTAAATATAATCTTGCCATACAAATATTCAGATTATTATCAAATCTTCGGGAAAAATATTCATCATCATCCACAGGTTTTATGTTATCATCGACAATCAAAATGATTGATGAATCAATTCGACCTGCTGTTGTATCGAAACAAATGAACCAAATTCTTGAAGAAATTTTCAATAAATTTGAAACTGCAGAAAAATCATCCAACAAATCCGTTATCATCGTTAATAATATTAAACCAAAACCATTTATTCTACCATTATTGGAACCAAAATTTGAAGATGATCTTCGTCTGAAACCAAAATATCAATGTGAAAGAAAAAAATTAACAAAAAAATATAAACGTGAATTTAAAGGTGCACAACGTGAAATCAGAAAAGATTCAAAATTTTTACGTGATACTTATTTGAAAGAAGTTGAAAAGAAAGATCGTATACGAAAGAATAAAGTAAAAGAAATCTTAAAAGATTTATCCATTCAACAAGGATTGTATAAAAAGAAAAAATAATTTTTTTTGTAATAAAATTTTTCATTTTCAAAACAATCGATTGTAATCGATAGTCCTTCACCCAATAGCTATGATCACATGGCAAACCAATGTTTTGTTTGAATTTTAAAAATTTTCTTTTTTTTTGAATAAAATTTTTTTCTTTTCTTTTTGCTGACAAAATGTTTAAATTTCATAAACGTAATTTATTGAAATTATTTTCACAATCAGAAAATCTTCATAGGATATCGAATTCAAGATGTTTTACAACGACCAGATTTCTTTCGAATGAAATGAATGAAAAAAATCAATCGACAACAACAACAAGAAATGATATGGAAGATTTGTTTCTTGATAAACGTGTTGGTTATCTACTCAAAGCATTAACCGGTTATGATCCGGTAAAAGTTTTTTCCACTAAATCCTTAGATAGTCTTAATTCACCTAAATATCGTCTTATGACTGATGAACAATTAAAAATGGTCAGTAATATGAAACAATTGGTTTTTTCCGAACAATTATTAATGTCAAACATTAATTTCATTTAAAAGGAAATCAAACAAGCTGATCAACGAGCAGATTCATTGTTACAAATGCCACCGGTAAAATATCCAACAGAATATGAGCCAAGAATTTTGGAAAAAGATATTGCACTTCAAGGTTTTCTTGATCCATCAATCAAATTAGTTTTTATGGATGCTACAGCCGGTTTTACGGACAATGTAAGCTTATTTTTTTCATTTCCTTTGTTAAGTTGTTTTCATCATTATAGGAAAGAATGATTGTTGTACGTGAACCGGATGGAACATTGCGTGAAGCAAATCGTGAAGAAAGACATCGAACTAATCAAATATTTTATCCAATCGATGAACGTCACATTGAATTACCTAAAATGTTTGATGAACCACATCTAACTGAAATGATGAATCGAGCAGCATATAAATTATTATTAGATAATATTTGTCTGCATTTTGAACCAGAAGATCCAAAATATCAAGATTTATGTCATAAAACTTATGAACATATCACATCAAATAATAATTTTGATCATTTATTATTCACACGTCATTATGGTGGAATGGTTTTCTATTTAGCATTCAATCGTAAAATTGATTCACTTTTATATCATCTAATCACTGAACAACGAATCAATGATGGACATAATCTATTAATTTTATATTACATTATTAATCCAAGTGATGAAGTATCGAAAATTGTTGATGAATTCAATTCAATCACACCGCAAGAATCATTAGAATCTGTTGCCGATATTAATCGAATAGAATCATCAAAACCAATAGAAATGGAAAAATTTCTGAATTTATTAAAGGTAATAATTTGTTTTTATGCAATGTTTTATTCAATTAAATTGAGATTGTTGTCTTTTTCTGATTGTAGATTTACTTGAAAAATGATTCCAATTCGAATCTAAAATCACGATTAGAATTATCATTGCAAAAGCTGTTATCCGAACAACAACGAGATGAAGCGAAAAATTGATAATAATTTTTAAAAATCTAGATCATCATCCGGATCTTCATCATCGAAATCATCAAATTTATCATATGTATAGATAATATTATATTCAGGTGATTTGTTGGATTGATTTTTTGTTGATGGTGAATCATCATGTTTTCTATTCAAAAAATTATAATAAAAATAAAATTGTATTATTCAAAGAAATTTTCAAATTAAATTAACTTACTTTACATATGGTAAAACAAGATTTTCTCTTGCTTCTTCTTCCTGTTTCGTTAATGTTAAACGAAATGATGATTGTGGTAATTGTGAAACATTATCTTCGAACAATTTTTCTTGTTTCATTAGATTATGTTGATTAATGAATTTGATTTTGGAATTTGAATCAATTTCAATATGTTCATGTTTTTGATCAAATTGTAAATGTGTTCGTGGATGTTTCTTTTTAGTAATCACATGACAATGTATTGTTTTTTCCAAAGAATTATCATTTTGTTTACAAATTTTTGAACAACATTGTCGATATGATTTGTTTTGGCTGGTTAATCGAAAATCAATTATAACATTCGAAATGTAAACAATGTTTGATTCATTTGAATCTTCTAATGATGAATCAAACATTGAATGATAGATCAGTATGATTTGTTGATAATATTGTTTGATTCGATGAAGAAATTGATAAAATTTTCGGGCAATAATTTCATCATCATGATCATCATCATCGAAAATAAGAAACAATGGATTTATACTATCAATAACCAATACATTCGATGAATCATTTTTCGTTGCCACCGAAATGAGTTTCGATTCAAATTCTTTAATATCTGATTGATTGATTTCTTGATCATCCAAAATTTGAATTTTCGAATTGGATTTGGGTTTGAAATGTTGTGGATTAGTACCGAATAGAATGATATTTTTCGATGAATTTTTCGTTACAATACGATCGATAAAATGTTCAAGAAATATTGTTTGTTGATTCAATGTTTCTAAATCATCAATTAATGTTAATATTAATGGTTGTAAACGTGTTGATTCATCCCAAACATCTTGTAATAGACAAGTTTTTTCAACAATTTTTGATTTATTGGACATCTTCTTTCAAAAACAATCACCAACAACAGAAAAACGATCGAAATGATGTTTTTTGGCACACGTTTTTTTTGTGTTTTGATCACGTGGTTCGTTTTTTGTCATTCGACACTAGATGGCGCAAATAAATCAATTTTTTTACTTTTGAATAATTTTTAATTTTGCGACGAAACGATCCGCCTGGAACATATGATGGAGTGTCCAAGTCTGACAGGAAGGTTGGCATGCAGATACGGATACCTCACATCTCATCCAAGCTAGTTTTTTTGTTCTTATTTTATTTTTTATTATTATTGTTATTTTTATTATTGTTGTTGTTGTTTTACCCGTCTGTGATTTTGCCGAACAGGCGTAAATAAAGTTAATTCATTCAATTTTTAATTTTTATTTTTTTAAAATAATTTAATAAAATCTGTTTTTAATTTAAGATTTAAAATTAGATATAAATGCATTCATAATGATAAACATCACGATATTATATAAATTAATTATCAGCAACAATTTGATCATTTTGAATATTGTTAACAATTTCTTGAATTAAATTTTCAAAATCATTTGATCGTTCTTTAGCAGCGGCTAATACTTCTTCATGATTAGCTTTATCATCGGAATCATAATCGGTAACAATTTTATTTGTAATCAATGAAAATGCTATAACACGCATACCAGAATGATGTGCAACCATTGTTTCGTGTACAGTACTCATACCAACAGCATCACAACCAATCATACGTAAAAATTTTGCTTCAGCAACTGTTTCAAAATTTGGTCCACCAACCATAACATAAACACCTTTACGAAAATGTTTTTCAATTTTCAATTTTTCAATAGCATTTTCAGCTAATTTCATTAATTTCGGATCATAACAAGTATTCATAGCTGGAAATCGGATACCAAAACGATCATCATTTGGACCACGTAATGGATTATTACCGGAAAATCCAGGGAAAAAAATATGATCTTTAATCATCATAATATCGGTTACATTGAAATTTTCATTCAAACCACCGGCAGCATTCGTAGCGATTAATGTTTCAACACCTAATCCTTTCATAACACGAATTGGAAATGTACATCTGGCTAATGAATAACCTTCATATGCATGAATTCTTCCTTTCATACAAACGATAGGCGCTTTGCCAAGATAACCAAATACTAATGTTCCAGCATGACCATGAACTGTGGGGAATTTCAAAGTTAATTTTCATAAAAATTTTGAAACCAAACAAAAAATCTAATAGACAAAACAAACCTGTACTAACAGGAAAATGAGGTATGTCTTTATATTCAATTGAAATTGGTTCGGTAATCAGATTGGCCAGACCACCCAGTCCAGATCCACAAATAATACCAATAGTAGGTTTAATCGATACTTTTGTTTGTAAATACTTAACGGATTCATCAATTTCTTCATGTGTAATGCTAAAAAGATGAGAAAAAAAATTGGAAAAAATTAAAAAACAAAGCAAAAAAACAAAGCAGAAAAAAAACAAATTCCCAACCGATGATTATCATCATTTGATTCTGGTGAATGAGAATTTTGATTCTGATGATGATTATGATTTAAATTTTGATGATTATTATGATGATTATGTTTAGATTTGATTGGCGATTTAGATTTAGCCAAATAGGATTTTATATTTAACAATAAATTATCCATTTTTTTCAATCACAGAAGTAAAAAACAAAAAATTATTTAGTACGGAAAAACAAATCAAAGCTTCAAATGTAAAATCGAAGTTTATTGTCCTCAATTATGTTCAAATGATGAAGAAGAAGAAGAAGTTATCATAGACAAAAAATATCACTGGTTTAAATACAGCAATTTTCAGAATAGCGACTATGATGATGTTAATGATAAGCAATCATCATTGAAATCAATGAAAATCTTGAACGCAAACAATAACAACAACAACAACATCTTGCAACCAAACCAACCAAACAGAAGCAATTTTCATTTATAAAAGTTCAAAAAATTGGTTATCATGTTTGTTCAAGTTTACTACGATTTAAACTAAAAAATTTTTCGCCTTCTTCAGATTTGGTCATATGAGGATCGACAGTGAGCATCCAAAAAAGAGTTGTAAACAAAAATTGCTGAAATAAATAAATAAATAAATAAATTTTTAAAGAGCAAAAAAATGGGATATTTATGAAAATCATTCGATATTTCGATGTCTTGCGAATTTCCTCAATATCATTTTATCGATGATAATCGATAAAATCAGAAGAAATCAGTTGAAGAAAAAACAAAACGAATTGCAGAGGCCAAATCTTTCAAATACAAACCCAAAAACCGAACATGTGAATGAATGTCAAGATAGATGAATGTTTATTTATTTTGTTTGGACAGAAAATTTCTAATCAAATCAAACGGGAAGAAACAGAAACGGGAAAAAATTCCATAAAGAAATTTTTTCTTCAAATCAAATTTTGATGAGATAAGCCAAAGCAGCAACAACAACAACAACAAAAACATACAATGTTTAAATCAATCAACTTTTAGAATATTTGTTTTGTTTTGTTTTTTTGAATGTTTAGATATGATTCGATTTGATTAGTATCATATATATGAAATATATTGATTTCATCATTGAATTTTTTTTCAAACAAAATAATAGGCAAAAAAACCATTGATTTCATTGAAACTATTGAATTTATTGATTGATTGCCTGAATTGTTTGTAATCAAATATATGTGGATTTTGTTTGTTTTTATTTCAAACCAGAAAAATGACGAAATAAATGATAACCATGTTAAATATCATTTGATTATCAATTTATATGAAAATTTCGTTGCAAAGGAAAAGTACATGTCTATGATTAGAATTCATTCATAGAAACCATTAAAGTGGTTGATTGGGTGATTTTAGATTTTCTTCTTGATTTTCACCCAATCAATCGATTTCATCTAATAGATTAGAAATTAGAGATGAAACAAACCAAAGAATCAAAGTAAATTATCATCATCGTATATGACACACGTTTGATTTTTAGTTAGTTTGATTTGATTTGATCTGATGGTAAAGATGAAAAGAAAAACTTAACTAACATTCTGTTATCTGATCATTTGCTACAACCGGGTAATTTTATACAGGTTTTCTCAAACAGCAAACTAAAAACGAAACATTGTAACTTAAATACCTGAATTTATTCAATCAGATTGGGGATTAATGACCGAAATTCAATTTGTTTTATTCAGGTGAAAAAATTCAATTTTTTAAAATTTTCAAATGAAAAAAATGAAGTGAAAACACTTACATATAAGCCATGTTTTTTGGTTTGGTTTGTTTCGCAGAAATGAAAAACGATCAACAAGCAAAATAAATAAAACGAAGGTAGATTGAATGAATGAATGAATGAATGGGTAGAAAAAATTTAAATGCAAGAAATTCCCATACATTTTATATATTTATAACGGTTATAAGATTGTAAAATTGTTCAATTTGTAAAATCAAAAAAAAAAAAAAAATTATAATCATTAAAAAATACCAATCATAAAATCTGTAATTATCATCATCATCATCATTAATAATAATTTAAAATCAGACTTGTAACAAACCGCGGTAAATTAACTCAATTTAATTTGTCACTTTTACTATTACAACAAAAATTATAATTAACCAGAGAAAGAAATTTACACACATCAAGTGCGTGCCAAAGGTGATTTGCTAATGATAATAATAATAATTAACGGTTGGTTGGTTGGGTTTTTCGCTAATTGAAAAACATCATCATAAAAAGGGTTTCTTTTTTTTCTGGTTGTAATTAAAAAGAAAAAAAAAGACTTGTAATAATCAAAGATTATAAAATATGTCTGACAATCTTTATTTGTTAATCACACATATCATTTGGTAGGTTGTTTTTCATTTCATTATTTTTCCAAAAAAAAACAACAAAAAGATTGACGTCAATTTAACCACCACCAAGAACAACAATGATGGCCAAGTTTGTTTTCTGAACGACAAAACAAAAAAAATTGACCTTTAACTGAATTTCTTAATCGCAGAATATTTCTTTTGATTCTAAAAATATAACGTTTTTAACACTGTCTTGTTTTTTCTGGTGATGGTCAAACAAAAAGATTCCGGAAATTTTTTTTTTCTTTTCTGCTTCTCAAAATGTTACCCAAACATATTTAATTTTTATCATCAAAAAAAAGAAAAGAAAAAAAAAGAAAATTTAATTTTAAAGTCGCAAACCGAACAAAAAAAAATGACCATTTTTTTCTTGAATAAATATTTGATTTGGTACGTTCATCAGGTGTACCGGCGGTTTTTTTTTGGTGGGGGAAAAAAGTTTCATCAACGAAAATCACTGTGTGTGTGTGACATTCAAAGAATAATCGCTAAACGCTAAATGTTAACTGATGCGTTTTTTCTCAAAAAAAAAACGATATGGTTATAGTAACCAAGTTTTCGAAAGTTTTTCATTATTCGAGACCATTCTGTTTGCAATGATTCGCACCCTATTTTTATATATTTACCTTTATCCTTTTTTGTTTTGTTGGTTTGTTCAAAAAATAAATGATAACATAATGGATTTTTTTTTACCTTTACCTTTTTTTTGTTGTTGTTAGTGGTGGTAAAAGTTATAAGCAAATAGTTGGGTGTGAGATTGTTATTCTGGTAATTTATACCTGGGTTTTTTATCATCATAGGTAACACACAGAGAGAGAGAAAGAGAACAGACAATATCAGAAGGCACTAACGACGTCATTTCTTGCTTTGTTTTTTTTTTCCTGTCGATCAAACATCGTGGAATCAGTCTACATTTACTATGATGATGAACATGGTGGTGATGTTGGTCATTCAATTCATTCACAATGAAAATTATGAATTTTTGAAAAAAAATAATCATCAACATTTACTTCTTTTAATCGATAAAAGATGGCGATAGCTGTATTGATTATTTTTAAAAATAATGATAAATATAATAGAATTTAAACATGGCTTATTCGAAGATATTTTCATTCTTGATTCTAATGGAACAAATTATATTCAATTGATTCATTATTATCATCATATAGTGCCTTCCATTATTCAATTTTTACTTGACAATCAATCAATCATCATCATCAATATATATTGACCAGGTAAGTTAATTTAGCTTAGTAAATTCAAAATTCGTAATATACATTATCAATCAGACACATTAGTTTACAGCACACATATATAGGATTAACCCTTTTGTTGTTGTTCACAAGTAAATAAAGACATTTATCATTCATCAATGATAAAACAACAACAAAGGTGAAAACAAATAGCTATCATAATTATTTCAACAACTACCAACCAATCTACCTTACAAACAATAATTTTCTTTCATTATCATTATCATTATTATTCACTATCAAGCGTTATTATTATTTATGAACACCGTTTATACAATTGAACAAAAATTGATTATGATAATGTTGATAATGAAGAATTTAGAATAGAATGAAAATATAGATAAACAAACTGACAAACTGACTAACTAGCTTTATAAAAATAGCGTTAATCACTTTTTCATTGAACCATAAACTTGTGCGATAGAGTTATTATCGCAATCTGTCCGTTTTTTGGTTAACATTTTTTTTTATTTTTTCAACATTCAATTGTCGATTTGAATCGATTCTTCAGGTTTTTGGTTCAAAGTCATCCCCCACAAGTTTTACTTTTTATCCAACAAAACAAGAAAAAGATAAGGCCAAAAAACATTGCCATTCTGTTGTTATTGTTGTTGTTGTTAACATTTCCAAAACAAAACCAAAATGATATCAATGTTGTTGTTGAAAACATTCCCAAAAAGAATTATAAAGAAGATGTTATCAACATTTATATAGAGAATATGCTTTTTTAAGAAAAAAAACATTCTTTTTGTTTTGCATCCATGAAAATAGCAAAAAAAAAGATAAGAAATGATCATTAGGCTTTTGAGTGAAGAAAAATTTATCGATCTCACCAGAATATACTGATATTGATTGGTGACTGATTTTCAAAAAGAATCTTTCATTCATTCATTCATCCAATTCAGGAATTGATAATGAATCCTACAACAACAAAAATTAGGATCATAATCTGAAGAGAATTTTTTCATCGTTATCTTTTTTTCGAGAGAAAAAATTAAGTCATAATGTGATTTTTGTCTGTGTGTGTAGTCGATATCGAAGAGAAAAGATAAGGAATTTTTTGTTTTCAAGTAAATCAACTTTCTTTGAAAACAAATCAAAGAATCGTTGAATTGAAAGTGATGCTGAAAAGAAAGAAAATAAAAACGAAAAGTTTATCATTGATTTGGCAATCATTTCAAAGATTTTTCTTCGTTGTTGTTTTGTTTGGATCCAGAGAGTTTCATTTTTCTTTCTTCTTCGTCTGAATCAAATGATGATGATGATGATGAAAAACCCTCCTTGAAAACTGATAAGAATTTTTATTTTAGAAAATCTCTCTCTATCTCTCTTCACTATTTTTGATAGTGGAATTTTTTGTTGTTGTTGTTGTTGTTTGGTTTCGATAAAACCTAACCTAACCTAGAAAAAAATGATAAATATCGACGATATGGTTTGGTTTGGTTCCAAAGTTCAAAAATAAAAAAAACATCACAAACATCACAAACATTAACATTATCAATCCATTGATCTATCACAAACTCTTATCTTTTATCGAATTTCACTTCAAAAAAAAATGTTTTTTTTTTCCTCTCTCTAGCTATCTAGCTATCTCGGCTATCTCTTCGGCTATA